AAAAAAAAACAAGTGGAAACTACTAAAAATTGCTTACCACAACATCCTTCGTCCACGCTGGTTGGATTTGATCCGGATCATTATAAAATAACCTCGATGTCCTATCTTCTGATCGAACTTTCAAATTATAAACGCCACTCCGTAAATGCTTTAAAGTACGAATCCAGCCTAAACATTTAAAATTCTCACTTCAGAGAATTCTAATTTTTGAAAAAAAAAACATCCATCCGCATCAACCGTACCACTAATAGGATCTACTGTAAAGTCCGATGATCGATTCACTAACGAATAATAGATCTGCCCATTGATCCCTTCGTCAGCATCGGATGCTTCAACTCGAATCACATCAGAGAACGGAGCAAGCTGAAAAAATAGCCGCATTCACACAAAAACAATGCAAAAACAGTAAATGCGATGACAGTTACCTGATCGCTAATTGTCGCTTCGTATTGATCTGCTTCTAATGTGAAAATTGGCATAGCATCATTCCGATCTGTTATGGTAAGGCGGACTTTAGTAGTGGCTTCGAGATTGCCGGCCTCTTTTTGTCGACAAGTTGCTTTTATCAAGAAATCATAGTGATCCTGGAAAAAAATTTACTTATAAAAGGAATTAGGTGTAGGTAGGAAACCTTAGAAAGTTGTGCTTAAAAAGACAGGGATTTAATTTAAAAAATGCCTTTAGGTCAAATAAAGAAGGTATTTTATGGAAAGACTCGATATCAAAAAAATCGATTCACAAATACTTTGATTTCTATCACGTGGTAATTGGAAAGGAACGATAACAAATTTGCTGAACAACATGATATAATTCAAAAGAAGGGCTTCCTGCAGGATCACAAGTTCACGTTTATAAAAGAAATTCCAAAATTCTAGAATTGTTCGAAAGATTCCGACCCTTCAGTTTTTCTTTCTTCGAAAAGTGAGCAAAACAGAAAAAAAAACTTCAAACTAAACATGAGATCATAGAAGAAAATAAACAAATCCTACAAAAATTGTCACGACAAGTGTCGAAATGTCAACAGCTTACCTTAAGCTCCCTGTTCAATGGTGTGTCCATCCGGTCCTTTTGTCGAATTCGTAAAAACACAAAATCTCCCACTTGGCGGGAATGTGCTTTGAAGTGGTGTTGTCGGTCTCCCTATA